TGTGATTCTGTGAATACTGCTGAGCTGTAAAAAGAGCTCTCAGATTGCCAACCAACAGATATTTAGCACTGCAAAACAATTTTTGCTTTGTTGCTTTTTTAAACATCTGTATTATTTGCAGCTCTTGCTTTCAAGACCCCTTGCACAGCAGCGGCAAAAAAAAATAAAAAAGAAAGTCAGGGTTCAGAATTTTAATCTCTCCTTGTCACAGTATTCCATCACATATGGGTACCTGCCTCTGAGGCAGGTAACAATAATAATAAATTTCTGAACAGCTACACAGATATTATAAATTTTCATTATCATCTTCCCATATTTCTCATCATCTTTTCCTTGAAGAATCACTTCCTAAAATCCTCTCTAATTAAAGGATAAGAACAAGATGTAACTACTCTAAACAAGCTCTCTTCTCTATGAGCAAAAAAGCAACTCCCAACAGTTAACAAAGCAAGTCTCACCTGAGAGAGTTTAAGGACTTTCTTTATTTGCTGTTCTTCCCACTTCATTTCTGCTTCATCCTCACTTGACTCACCACTCACAGACACTGGAAGTTAAAACAATCGTTATTAGATGTAATTATGTCCTTTATTTTTCGCTCCCCTCCCTCCAAAGCAACAATGGCTCTCCCAGCCATTACTGGGAAGCGATACACAAACAGGTGAAAAACCTGCAGAGAGAGGACTTGCAAGCTGAAAGGCAGGGAAGGCTCGGAAACAGCTAATGGGCTTTGTACAATTCACACTGATATTAATTTTCCCAACATACTGCTTCTCAGACAAATCCTACTGGAGTACAAGAAGCACAAACATCTCATTTTTATGTCTCAAAGCAAAGCTGTATATAATACATGTAAATAAGAGTCTAAGTATAGACTATAACACCGTGAGTGACATTATACACAGCAAATCCTCGAGTGTTTCAAAACGCACACTCTACTAGAGATAAAACATATCCCATTAGCATTAATTAGAACTGCAGAACGGCTTATAGTTTTGTATTCTTTATAATCCCTATAATAAAGTAAAACAGTACTTCATAAAATACAAGCAGCTACAAGAGGATAAAAGTAATGGAAAAGCCAGATATGCTTTGGGTGCAATAGGTTTGTTTACTTCTGAGGGCCTGGGTTGTTGGCTTTCTTTCTGCCCCCCCTTTTTTAAGACCAGTCCTAAAATCAACGCACAGAGAGCTCTTGGAAGACCAGAACAGAAGCAGCAGACAGGACTTGCTGCATTTTTTTTTCCACATTAAATGCTTTGCCTTTTACAAGGCAATTTTTTGCAGTCAACAAGGCCAAAAATAATTTTTTTATTGTTTATCAAAGCATCCTGCAGTACCACATCAGTGAGACCTAAACCAGGTTAACACCCCATATAAACCTCAAGTACCAGCCTCACAGTCTTTCAGTCTTTACTAGACAAGTCCCACATCTTTCTGGCCATCAGTAAAACAAAGACACAACCACTGGGAGAAACAACACAAACTCACCCATGTGTTCCATCATCCTCTGCCTAAGAGTTCTCATCTCAGGAACAAAATCGAGATTCTTTGTATCAGACTCATCTTCACTCTCTAAGTCACTGCTTCCCCTCCTCCGAGAGACCTGATGACTGTTTGAAACATTCAGTGGGAGATAATCAGCCTGTGTCCTGGCTAAGTGACGGTTCCTCCGAGCAGCCTCAGTATGAGCTGCGCTGGGGATATTATCTGCATTGAAGAGAAAGAAAATCATTAGAATCCCCCTCTGCTCTGCCCTGGTGAGGCCACA